CGTATGAGTTAATACACTAATGAGAGAAGAACTCTCTGTATAAGTGATGATAGTTGTTGGTCATTGTAATTGTGATGCCATCTGCCAGGAAGTTATGCTACTGACATGCTGAGACATAATTGAAAAACTTTTACTAATATTCTGTAAAATGTTCTTTAAAGAAAGCAAATCTGTAAATATAACTTACAAAATATAGTTCTAGAAGATTTAACTTAGAAGCGATCTTGTTTATATGTATATATGTAAATAAATGTTAAGACTCAAGTACTGTAATAGTTTTACCACAGTATTATTTTATAATATATGTAAAATATATGTAAGTGTAGGGAAGAATGAGTCTATTTTGCAATAAATCACTGTACCATAATCATATTTGAGGATTGGCGACCACTCCTCCATTCTTAATGTTTAGGCTGTTTACAAATCCTCCCAAGATTTTATATCTTTCTGGGGAAACAGTTTTTAATTTACTTCATTCATTCCAGTCTCTGCTTTCCTGGCCCTCCTACCCTCATCTTTGCCCATTAATATTTCTGCCATTATCCCTCACCCCTAATTATATGACCAGAGTATCTCGTTTTATTTTTCTATAAATTTAAGAATTTATCTAGGTTTCTGCTAATCTTTTGTTTTCCTGTCAGTGAAATTATTTATCGTAACCACATTTTGACCCAAAACAGCAGTTGTGACCATACATAGCATTTCAGGAGTCTTGTTCTTAAATTGAAGTTAATGTCCAGTTTATTAGGTCTCTTGGGTTATTAAATGCAATTTTGTGATATATTTTTTACTTATTTTAATAGGGCCGTACCCTATTTATTCTTGTGGGTGATATTCATTTATCACAGCTTCCTCAGTTTTTAGTATGTTGTGTTGGACCATATACCATAGAAATTTGGAATGTTTCAGCCTTTGACCTCCAAAATTTTCCTTTAAGAAATTTTGTGTGCAGGAAAAGTCTATTTTGTTCAACCCCAGAATCGCATAGCTTTAACCTAGGTATATGTTAATGCCTAGCTATAACTCGCCAGGCCAATATACAGGCAATTAAAACATCTAATAATTTATTAAGTAATATTAGGACACGTCCGCTATCTGGCATTTAATTGCAATTCTCAAACCCTCCATCACATCATCTGCACCCACCGTCATCTTGCCTGGCGATTCATGTAAATACACACAAAAAAGGCTCCGCGAATTTGTGTTGTAATAGCTGAAATACTATGTTCCACGGTTTTATATATGGTGGTATTTATACTTAGCACAGTGAGGAAATAGTATGACTTTTATTTTTTTTGTCTCTCAATTATTGTGTTTGGGACAATTTCTTATCGATCTCTGGTCAGCATCATGGCGACCCAGCGCATCTTCTTTGAAGTCGCTTGATCGTTTTGACTATATCCTGCTTTTAAGTCACTCATTGAATGCCATTGCGCCCTCACTGTAGTTGTGCGTGATACAGGTATATGCTGATAACCACAGGAAAGAAGAAAACACGAAGTTCCCAAAGCGCTTTCGTGTAATTCAGGGACTTCTACATATAATCAACACCTCACCCCACCAGGATTGAACCCACGATCTTATAATTGTGACCAGAACGCTACCTCTGGGCCAGGAGACACCAAGATCCTAGACTCTGTTATATATCACACAAAGCCTGTTCAACGAACCTTGGTGCGTGAACCTCTAATGGGGACCACCCGTGCCGCTTAGGTGATCAGAGCAACGTTTACCAAATCCGGCTTTGAAACACGAGGATCCATATATATTTCATTAGCCCAATAAAGCCGCGGACTTCTACATATAATCAACACCTCACCCCACCAGGATTGAAACCACAATCTTATAATTGTGACCGAGGCAACGTGCTTTATGGAGCCACCATTATACCCTGGGGCACTCCTCACAGTTACATGGGCCTAAGTATTATTGTATCTTGATTGAGGGTTTACTAACAGAAATATGGAAATCCCTGGTTAAATAGTGAACCCATAACTATTAGGAGTACCAGGAAATATGTCATGTGAGTTGAGTACATGAACTGAAGGAAAAGTACCATGTTGTTCATGCCGATAGAACGTGATGTTATAAGTTGATTTGGGATATTGTCAAGTGTCATATACGTAATCATCTGTAGGGACAATGGAATAATATAATGATTGTTAAATGTTGTAACCAAGAATTGAAGATGTAATTTGTTACTTATAAAAGTAAGACCTGAGGGTCCAGTGTTATCTGACCGTGTATCATAATTACTGAATCTTATTTGTCAGAGGAATAATACAACAATTGTCTAATGAAGTAATAAGTACTTGGAGTTAAATGATATAATAAGTACTTGAAGTGTTTAATGAATTAATAAGTAATTGTGGATCTATTTTATCAATGATACAGTAAGACCTGAGGGTCCAGTCTTGTCGGAGTGAATTTAAATAACATCTTTTTCACCCATTGTGTTAATAAATATTGAATTAGTAATCTACGAGTATCACCACTCTATTCCTTCTAAACATTGGTTCCCAGAAAATAATACTTACTCACGTGCCTATGCACACCTACCACCCTACCCAAAAGTTGTCCATGAGTTATGTTATTCTACCAAAAGTCTGGGTGGTGGCAGCTACCCTTGTAAGTATAATAAGTGTTGTACTAAGAATAACATGGTTCCCCAGACTAACCCATGTATGAGAATATAAGTAAACCAGAGTATACTTCAGCAAGGTAAGGACATATAAATTCAGAAAAGAGATGTACAGTGTATGAAAAGAAATGAAAGACTCGGAAGTATAAGCAAAGAAATATAAGACATTTATGTACATTGTGGAACTAAAGACACAGCATTGAAATAATTAAATAAATACACCATGAAAGTTTAATATAAAAATAAACATAACTAATAGAAGAATACTAAATAAGAATATAATCAAGAATACACACACACACACACACACATATATATATATATATATATATATATATATATATATATATATATATATATATATATATATATATATATATATATATATATATATATATATATATATATATATATATATATATATATATATATATATATATATATATATATATTAAAATTAAGTGAATAACAGAACATAGGATTAATTCCAATAGAACCCAGCCCGACCCCAAACTCCACTTTTGACGCAAATAACTATGTTGTAGTAAAATTC